CCCCTTCAGGGAAATTTATTCTCCTACTTCCTTACAGATCTTGGTAGTTTTTGGTAGTTTGGTCTTAAATCACGGGGATGACAGTTCTGTCAGAGTTTCTTTTGCTGTAGCGAGTGAAAGGCTTTGACTTCTATCTGTTGTTCAACCTCACTCTCTTCTATGCAGGAAGAATGAATCTTTTTTTTTTTCCCTTTACTGACATCTCCCTGTTATCATGTCTCTCTTCAAATGTGGTAGTTTGTCTTAAAATACAGAAGTTTTAGCTGATCACAGCTATCCCTGAGAAGTGACTTGTTAGGATAGCAATTTGTTTACAGGAACAAACAAGTAATTAGATGCCACCTATAAGGTCTTGTAGGAAAATATTAATAGTCATCATCACTAATGCGAGGTGAACATTAATACAATAATCACTACTATGACAGTTACCCATAACTGTATAATTATTTGTTACAGCTTTATCACAGTCTAAAAATAGCAATTGATGTGTTAATGAGATAATGTAAAATATCATTATAGAATAATTTCAAAAAGTATCTCATTCCTGTGGAGCCAATCTTGTTAGTCTTTTGCTCTCAGAAGTCTTGTGGAAGTTAGAGGGAGTTTAGAATACTGTGTATTTCTGGAACAGAGCTTGTATTGTGTTCATTATGTGATTGCATGTCTTCTAAAAATCTAATGCTAATTGCTTTGCTTCTATAAATATGTGTATATTGATCCGGAACTTTCTTACCTTAAGTTTTTGCTTAAAAACAGAGTAATTTAGAGTTGAGAGCTTCTTGAACAATGTAAGAAAGGTTAACTCTCAGCAAAAGTTAATTTTAATTTGATTTTAAAATGTATGAGCACTCATCTGGTTCTATTCGTGTTTAAATGACCTTTCAATAAAAGGATTTCTACACATACAACTTTTAAAAATAATTCTAAATATTTACATTTGGTGCAGGAACATAAATGCTGTTTGGATAGACTTCAAATGTGGAGGAAGCTTTCTGTAGGGAGGAAACAAAATTGGTCTCATTCCTGAAATAAACATAAATATTGAATAGCAGAGATCTACTAAAAATTAAGAGCTATTTAAGAGGACAGTATCTTTTAAAGTACTAAATAAGCACAATAAAATATCAGGAACTTATCTGCAGAGTTTTTCCCTAAAGGCTGTGTGAATTTATTTGACAATCACTTTATTCGTTTCTTCAGAAAACTTATAAAATTCTCCCACTGATTTATCTGTCCATTTTCTTGCACTCTTAATCAACTTGCATATGTCTAGGAATAAAATCTCCATGGATTTTAATGGGATTTGAGAACTGTTACTGTTTATTTCACTGGTGAAAATCTAGAGCAGATCTACACAAAGCCTGTAGTCAGCTTGCATTTGTATTTGTGCAAGTGGTTGGAGCATTGTTCTGACTGCCTCTGAATTTTATTTTTAGGTAGACATACCTAAGCTAGCTTCAGACTAGCTGTTTAAGCTTCACCTGGCTTCTTAAGTGCGGGCAGCACTGAACTCCTGACTCCTGTGGCTGGGCTTCTCTTGAATTATCTGAAATTTGTAGATGAATTTCACTTGGGAGTGTCTTTGCAATGTGATAGTCACAAGGCTGACTGGCATGTAAATATTTCATCTGCCTCAAAGTTGTGGCATTCGGATCGGATGGGGACTATTAGCTAAAAATTGGCATGACCTTAGCTTTGTTTGCAGATACTTTGATTGGCTTGATAAATTCCTTCCTCAGTTGAAATCAACATGTTTGAAAATGAAATATATGTGATGAGCAGTTAACTAACCTGAGATAGCACTGTGCAGCAGCATAGCAGTGCAGTTATTTGGACGTGCTTGCATTGTCTTTTGGTGCAATATCATATATTAAAGAATATTTCAAAGACCTTTGAGAAGGTTGGTACATCTGTTGACAGTCTTTTTAAATTTCTCTCCTACATGTGATGTATGCATGGCTCTGTTAGTAATTTTTCTGAGTTTCTGACATCTCTTTAGAACTATTTTGGGCTGATGCCTCTGTCAAAACTGTACTGGGAGCTAGGTAGCCATTTGTAGGCTTATAATCTTAGTGTTAGCTTTTAGTGAGGTGTTCACACTTTGGTTGCTTGAGCAACAAAACTGTGAGGACTGACATTTAGTGCATGAAAAAAGGCACCATCTGCAGCTCAGCAACTCCATGCAGGGCTTAGTCTGTTAGTAGAGTGTTCACAAATGTGTGTAGTATACAGCAAAAATGGTGCAAGTCTTGAAATAACTGGTAGTGTAACTATTTCTGTCTTTTCATGAAACTCAGTTTAGTTTTGCAGACTGGTAGAAGGGGAGTCCTTTCTAAATGTAAATATGATCATTTTGAGACTCAGCTGTTTTCTTTTTCTTTTTCATAATGAATTCTGAGTGAAATAATCCTAAAACCCTTGCCTCATTATAGTTAGTATTCTGAATTCAACTCTGTGATAGCAAACCTAAGCTTTATACTTGATGGTTCTCCTAGAATCTGCTTATGTCCATGAGAGACCGTATACAACAAGAACTATGCTTGCACATCTTTTCTTTCAAAACTCAAGCACATATTTATCACACCATTGTATGATGATTGTATTTTATGCCACTGCCTAGGAAAACAAAATCTCATTCAAGGGAACTTTCAGTCTTTTTTATTGTGGGAGATAATATCTTACCTGAATTTAATTTTAATTTTAATTTGTCTGGGAACTTCTGAGGCTAGATCCTGATTTTTGCTGATGTAGAAACTAGCTGCTGTTAAGTTTTCTTCTGATTCTAGGTTAGAGCCTTACTGCAGGTGAAACCAAATTCTCTTCAACATAAACAAATGCAGTGTTTCATTATTTTGCCCCAGGAGAGAATTTGGCCCAGCGCATTCAGGAGAAATTATACTCTCATAATCTACTTACATAGTTAACTGTAACGGTTAAACAAAAATGAATTCTAAGCATTGTGTCTTTGTCCTGAACTTTGGCCTGGATTTTGCCAAGATTCAACTGCATGCCTAGTTTGCATCACTAAGTCTAGTTCCACTAATGTTTACCAGAAATCTTCAGTGTTGAACTTCCAGCTGCATATGTGCATAAGCCCTAACAGGATCAGAGTGCTTTTTCCTATGTATGACATCTTGGTAAAAGAGCTAGCTGTAGTTCCCTGCTCTTACCAGTTCCTATGTAATGACATTTATTACTGCATTTTGAGGCAAGTCTCATTATCAGAAGCTGCTCGACTCCTCTTTAGTTATTAGCAATTAGAGTTGTATTAATCAGTCGTGCTTGTTCAACTGAGTTCAGATTTTCTTTTGCTGAAGGGAAGATTTGAGTTTATTACTATAAGCCAATACTTCAGACAATTTGAAATCATGGCCTTAAATAACTGCAAATATCCTGACCATATGCAGTTAAAGAACTGTGTGGTATTTCATGAATTACGGAGACTGATCATTATCTTTGACCACTATTTGTACCTGTTTTAATGTTTGTTTTTTTTAACATTAGATCTGATCTTTCTAAAGTGAGATGTACGTACCTAAGTTTTACCTGATGACCCAGACCACCTATTTTTCAGAACCATGTAACTTTTTAACTACTTAAAAGTCCTCAGCTGCCTCATTGTTAGCCTGAAATTTAGAGAGTGGGGCAAAAATTGTTAATCTTTGCATGTGAAGATACCTGTCTTCAGCTTTGTGTCAGAGGGCTTCTTAAGCTTTAGACAAATTAATTATTGACCACCTGTTATAAGCTTCCCTCAGAACTGTGATACTGAAGTGTTTCTCACTTTCTCTACTCAGTAGCTTCCCTGAGGAAGGCTCTTTGAGTTTTGAGTGACAGATGTACCTGGAATTTCCTTGTTCTAGGACACAAGAGGATTATTATGAAAAAGCCCTGAGTTCTGCATAGTCAGGAGAGAAACTGTGGTTCCCAAACTTCAGTGTTTCATATTGTTCTCTGGAGATTACTGAAGATGATGGACAGGAGAAGATGCCTCTGTTGCAAATGGAGGTGTCTGACAGAGGCTGTTGGCCTACAGAGGGCCAAGTTTATTTCAGTTATGAGTATGCAGTTTAGAATGGGATTTATACTTACTCTAGTTTTGAGGCAACTAATTAGAGAATGTAACACACCAAATTAGACCTCAGTTAATAGGTTAATGTATATCCTGAAGAGGCAGAAGGAAAGCAGTATAGGTAAAAATTATACCTTTAACTGCAAGAGTGGCGGTACGGTAAAGTTACGGCATGTCACCATAAGGGCTATCTAAATGATGTTCAGCAAGTATAACCCTAAAGATGCTGAAAAACTTAGTGGCCTAAGCTAAAGAAAGGAGTACAGAGTTTGTCCTGACCTGTTTGTTGTCTTTGAATGAAACCCTGAAAGTCTGAAAACACTGAGGATCCTGTGAGAAACTTGTATTTATTTAACCAAATCAAATTCAAAAACATCTAGATGAATGAGTGTGAAGACAATGTGGGCTGACAGGAGAGAGTCTAAACTGACAGGAGGCAAGTTGCTCAGGTGTAGCTGAATGGAATTTTAAAGTGATTTACTCTAAGTTAGGATTATTTCAGGGCTGATATAATGAGAAAATCTGGAAAGATTTCTTTTTTTGTGTGGAACAAGCATGCTAAAGCATCTGAATTTTGAGGCAATGGGAAGAAGTCTTAAGTTGCACTGTTTCTTATTTCATGTCAGTCATCTTAGCTTTTACTTTTGAGCCACTGTGCTTAGCAACAGAAGTTTCTTTAACAAATTACTGCTGAGATAAATAGAGAACATAATGATAAAATGGTACAGGCTATAATTTAGGGCAATTTATATCGGTAAGGAGGGAAAGAACCTTGCCTTCCTGAAAAATACATAATCCATGTTTCTCAGTAGTCCTTCGTTGTTATCTGAAGAGTACACCCTGCAGTTATTGGGAAAGAAAATGTTTAAAGTGGTTGCTTATGTTTTCTGCAAAATAATATTAAATGTTGTTTTTTTTTCTTCCACAGTAAAACCAACAGTTATTGATGTTGACATTTATGTCAACAGCATTGGTCCTGTATCATCAATAAATATGGTAAGTGACTTGCTAGCAAGGATTTCTATCTGGACTACTGGTCTTGGCATCAATACTAGCTTTTGGAAAAGATAATAAGTACTGCTGGGTTGAGTTGTTTTGATTGGTGACTTAGTTCTGTTTTTATCTATAGTTCTATTTTTCAGATGCCTCTTTTGTGCCTCTTCAAGAGGAGAACAAACTTTCAAACAGTATTACATACTGTGTTCTCTGCCATAAAATGTTAGTAGATCCTGACTGACAAAATAGCAGTGTTAGGAAAGAATAAGTATGAAACAAAGCTATTGTCAAGAAAATTCTTGAAAAGTCCTGAATTATTGCCGCAGGACTTGATTAAATATACAGACCTTCATAACATGTGGAAATCTGTATATAAACATGTATTCATTTTAATGTTGATCTTAAGACTCAGCTGCATTTGACAGTATTGAATGTTCAAATAGATAAATATTCATGTATAGTATATCTCAAAGACTTACAAAGTCGTACCTATAGTATACTATGCTTGCATACAATTTGGCTTCATAAGTCTTTGGGAAAGACTTAACTAATGCCACCATGTACTGTCAGTATGTTTATATGAAGTTTTTCATCTCTTCAGTGGTTGCTGTCCTTTCACTGAGCTATCAACAATCTTCAGCCTTACAGTAGAATTTCGAAGAAGTTATCCATAGCTTTACTGCATGTGTAAAGGCAGGAGAAACTATGAAAGAGTTTATGTGGTGCTGTGACAATGAACCTAGAAAAAACGTTATGGTTGGTCAGTTACTGTGGGCCTTCTGAACTCCAGGACATTGCTCAGGTCTGCAGCAACATGTTCGTACTTAGAAATGAAGCTGGATGTTTATTTAACTGCAGAGGTATGGGTTATATACATATGTATGTATATATATATATTTTCAAACTTTGAATTTGAATTCAGCACTCTGTTCTTTGTAAACTAGGTTGAATTTTATCTTAATACAATTTGGAAACAGAAGATTGAAAAGGATACTTGGTAATTTCTTAATTTATTTATTTTAAAGCTCTTATACTAACCTCTTCAAAACAATGACTTTATTTCTGGTGTTCATGATGACATTCACAGGCCTGTGGGAATAATGGTGATATAGGAATCTATTAAGTTCATTAGGTGGATGTCTTGTATATTTGGAACAGCTGCTTCTGAGTTAGAAAGCTGGTTATTCAGTCTGCTTGCTTGTTACTCTCTACGAATATGGGAGAATATAATTATTATGCTGTGTCAAACACCAGGATGAGGGGAAGACTCGTCCTGCATCGTGGAGATGGGAAATCTGGCAAGTAAAGATAGAACAAATTACTTACTGGGAACCGCTGAGCCACGTATTCAAAAAGTGTAAAATATGTTGATCATATTTCTTTAGCTGAAGCACTGATTGCCAAGCAATGGAAGTACTTGCTCCATTCTTGAACTAATACATAGCTAATTAACTTGCACTTTCCTGACTACAAACCAAAATAACTTGTCCAGGGGAAGATCTGTTGGAAGATCTGTTCTGCTTATGTTCCTCTGGCTTGTATTTACGTAGACTGTAGGAATAGGTACTCTGTTCAAGAGCAATGGGGACAATGGTGACTGCTTTCTTTTCAAAGTCTTTTTCCTCTTTTGTCCCTCTGAATTAGCTTATAAATAGCATTTTGAAATACTGGAAATGAAGATGTATCTGCTGTCTAGAAACACTATGGAGTAATAATTAAGATAGAATTTGATGGGAACTGCTTCAGGTAAGAAGATGGAAAAGATAGTAATAAAAGTAACCAGCAGTTCTTGGAAGTTGACTGTGGCACAGTCAAAAGATGACTAGTTTACTTGACCCTTAACTTTGAGTTCAGTATATCTTATGGCAACATAGTGGAAAAATGGGCCAAGATATCAACTGAAACGCTGTATCTCTTTGAGAGTAGAAAGTCTTATTGGGATAGCCAGTGACGAGTATATGGTGTGGTAGAGAGATTTCTTGGTTACTCTGAAAAAACTAATATAGCCTATAAGTGTAAGAGGGTAAATAAAATAGTGATGGAAGTCAAAAATATGAAACGTAGGTGCCTGAAATTTAAAGTACTGAAGTCTGCTTAAGGCTATCTTTAAACCTTTGCCTGGCAATGGCCCAAGTTTCAGCTATGCGTATGGGCAGTATATCCTGCTGAGATCTGTTGAATCTGAACTAGCTAGGTGCTTTGAATGTTAGTTCTATTCTCAAACCAATTATTGATGTAGGAGGTTAAAATCACTCGAATGTAGGAAACTTTTGTCCAAAAGTTCAATTTCTGCTATTGCTCTGGGGTTAGTCCAGATTTACATCAGAGAGCAGAAATAAGCATGTAGTCTCAGATTTACAGTGAATATTGGGAATTCCCCTCACAAACCTACGAGCTGTGGGGCTGTAAGGTACTTGTCTCTTTAGTAGCAGAACTGCTTTGAGGAGCTACACACCCCTAATTTTGAGCTATTTTAACTATTGGCTGTAGTATGTACTGGCTCTGTGATGCTTTACTTGAAAAAAAATTAAATATAAATTGTTTTCTCTTGTTTATTTATTTATTTATAGATTAAACTTAGTGTTTCATATAGTCTGTAAAACACTGGAGCATGGCTGCACAAACAGTTGAATGGTAACAAATAAGCTGGTGATTACCTGTGGTAGGTGGAGGCGGGGGAAAGGACAGCCTTCACTGTGTAGCCTGTCATGCATCTGAGCTCTCAAAGGGAGAGGAATGTGTGTGAAAATCCTGTACAGAATTTAAAGAGTGTTCTAGGGAGCAAAAAAAGAGTATTCTTCTTACCTTGAATCTATGTATGCCCCTCCTTCTATACTTCTCAGCATGACAGGAACTTTTAGTTTTTCTTCCCTAAATTATTATTAAAAGTTGAGCTATTCTGTCAAGGTAACTTGGCTAGATGGTAGTTGATTGAGTGAAAATAAAGATGATTACATTGATTTCCATCTTCTCTATTTCAAGAGTGAGATCATCAACATGTACAAGGAGGACTTCCCTGCTGTGTACTTCCAAACTTAGCTTTTAGGTCTGTCACTTTTTCTTAATCTGCAGCACTTCTGAGGGAGAATCATGTAGAGCTTCTCTAGAGGTCAAACTCTGCAGCTATACTTTCTTATCAGTTTTCATCAGTGCTTTTCAACCTGGGGATGAAATCTAGAAAGTAGAATGACTTTCCTTACGTTGTCAGTTCAATGGGTGTTTAATTGAAAGCTCAAGCAAATTTTGTAGAGCAAACCTTTTCAGACATCAGTAATTTTGTTGGAATTATGATTAGATTTGAATACGAATATTAATATCACACTGGGTTTTTTTGACAGTCAGGAAGAAGATAATTGGTACCAGATACCTGCTGCGAAGATAGCCTCAAATGAATTGTATGCGAATACTTATGGGTCTATGAAAAAAAAAAAAAATCCTTGTAGCCTGAGGCTGGAGGTGTCACAAGGGAAAGAAATGTTTAAGCCTTTGAGAAGGCTTTCAATCAAGAGAAAGGTTACATTGTGTGTGTCAAAGATGGCATAGTCTGCAGGAGTATAGGGCTGTCCCTGTGTTCTAGGGGCTTGAATGCTATTTGGGGGAGATTTGTGCCACTTCACCTAAGTACTCAGCAGTAATTCATTCTGTAGTTGCTTTCAAAAATCAAGATCTCAAGGAAAAAGGGGTGATTGTGGGATGTAGGTACTCTTCTGTTAGAAGATTCATCATTATAGTATCTTTATGGTGACAGTAGGAACTTGTTCTCTGGATAGACAGTGGTGACTTTGCCCGTGTCTGTGACATGGAGGATTTCTTTGAGGCATAGCCTGGGAAAAAGCTAGTATTCAGTATCAAGATATGGGAATTGAGTAAGGATTAAGAAGCAGCCTGAATAACGAACTCGGTGGTGCTAGGAAGTAGTCTCAGGTGATAGTAGCTTTAAAGAACAAAGTAATTTCAGCATTTTGAGCTGTGACAGGATGATATGAAGTGACAGCAGTGACTGATACTAGACAGGAGTATTTTGAAATGCAGAACTCTGAAATGTTTAGATGCCCATTTGGAAATTTTAGGCTTTTAGCAGATAAAAGCCATCCTTTGTATAACTCTCCTGATACCTGCCTCATAAAAAAAGTGATAGGACGTGAGATTTAGCTGATTTGAAAGAAATGTAAACTAGTTGTTATTAAAGTAAATGAGATATGAATGTTCTGAGTCAAAACCAACCTTCCTGTGTGCTTATCCCTTTGCCTTGGTTTTCATCTTTTTATAAAGTAAGTTACAGAAATCTATTTGCTGTTTTGTGTTACAATGTTATTAGAGATTCTGATTGTAGGATGCAGTATTTATATCTGTCTCAAGAATTTATTTCAACCCTTTCTGTTATTTGAAAGGATTGTTATGTCTGTAATGATAATTACAGTGCTTCCACTACTATTAGGGGTCTTCTAAGTGACTTTTTTACATTTGAAAATTCAGATGTAATCTTTTTTTTGTTTTTTTTTTAATTGTTTTCCATGCTTTATATTTTAGAACGTGTGTAGGAATTCCGTATTGTTCATTTTTCATATCATAATACCTTTATTAAAAATTTCGCATTCAAAATGTGTCCAGGAAACATATGCTTTTGTGTTGAAGTCCATTTCTTTTCAATAACAGCAAAGATTTATAAGTTGATTTCTAAATTTTAGATCTTAATGTGGCTTCCTGTAGTCTGTTTTTGTACAGATTAGTCTTACTGGTTTCTATATAAAAGAATAGGAAAAGGAGAAAGACCATATCAATGCGAAAGTGGAAATCAGATGTAAATGATAGGGAAAAACAAATATATTCCCCTAGAAATAGTTTTGTGAGACGGAGGTATAACACCAGACGATTACATAGACAATTCATTCTCAATAACGTCAAAGTGTATGTGTGTGTGTACATATCAAATGGTCTGTCTTAACTGAGTAGCTACTGGAATCTGAGTCTTTGCCAAAAGCTGTTGAGGAAGGCAGAAT